CTTGAGGTATTCGGCCAATCACAACGCACTGGATAGCTGGCCAATGACAGCAGACTTTGCTTTTCCTTTCGATGAGCTTTGTAAAAATCGACGCGCTTCCGAAAGGCGGGGCATAGAGGAGAAACAAAAATTTACAGTATGTGGAAAATAATGTGTTTTTTTAACCTTAAACCGCATAAACACATTTCATTACACCAAATACACAAAATAATGTTCTTTTTAGCAACATCATATGACCCCTTTAAAATAACTTAAGCAGCTGCAGTGCTTCTGCAACCTTCAGACAGCCCATGGGCCCTGATATGGTGTGTCTGCCGTTTATTTTTTGCAAGTTCTTTTGTTCATTTTAGCTTTTCTTCAGAAAGTAATGAAGGCAGATTCTTCATATTTAGTAGTGTTTGCTAAGGCAAGTGTCACTGTTGCTCATACTTAAGGTGAGGGATTTGAACAAACCTCTAAGCCAAAACTACATTGCATAACTTGTCCCACACTGTTACGTGACGTGACCCCCCCACCTACAATCCCTGCCGGTACGAGACTCGAACCCGCAACCTTTGGGTTACGAGTTCGACTCTCTAACCATTAGGCCACGACTTCCCCCAGACTTACAGACTACAGACATGAATTATGCTTCAACTCATGCGACTTGTTGAGGAAAGGTGTGTAGTAATTTTTCAATGCCATCGATTTTTGCCTGGTGGGTGATAAAATGGGAGAAAACAAGTCACATTTAATTCAATTAAAGTAGGGAGCTTCACCATAGTAGAGATTGAGTGACATTGTTTTTTTATGACTGAAACCGATATGCTGTTTTTTTTTTTTTCTTATTTTAATAATTAAAGCTGCAGTCCGTAACTTTTTTTGTTCAAAATGTATATAATAGTACACCATGAATCCATTTTCCAAACCGTGTTTTTGGCTTGTCCTGAATCACTACGGTACTGTTTCTGCTGTCTTTTAATGTTTGTTAGGTACATTGAGTTGCTTGTAACTAGATGTCTGAGTTTAAAGTTTGTGCGCATGATGTAATGTCATGAAAGACCTTTTATGTTGACAGTATGGGAATTGAGATGTTCTAAAAATATGGACGCACACTTCATTTCTCATCAGGGCAATCCATCACCCGAGTGCTTTTTAAGAGTACCGGTCACATGCAGCTGGGTTCGACATGTCCTTTGTGACATGACTGTTTTTGTCATCTTTTATGGTCAAATGATAAAAGATCACGCAGCGCCAGGCTTACAACACCAGGCTGTTCAAACGATCATTTATGAATCTCTGTTAATTATAACCTCTCCCTCGCTTCATCTCAGACTCAAAACGTCATGTATGACCTGGTCTCGGACCTAAACAACCGCTAGAGCGCCAAAAAGTTACGGACTGCAGCTTTAATAATTATTATTACAGATAACACAATAAATAAGTTACTTTATCTGTGAATACTCTTTTTAGCTATTAAGCAATTAAGCATTATTCATTGTTAAGGAAACTGGAGACATTGCTTAGCAACTTACAGGCACTTCCAGGCCTCATCAGTCAGGTGATCAGCCAGCAACACCGGGACTTCCTGGAGGTGCAACTCCAGCCATACGACAAACACAGTCACGAGCGCTCGCAGTCCGTCTCCCGGCGCCGATCGTCTTCCACCGCGCCGCCCACTTCCTCCGAGAGCAGCTAGAGCTGCCAGCCCAGCCGGCGTCTCCGGAGAAGACTTTCGCCATCATATGGCCAAGTTGCATTTTACTGTAAAGCCTTATGGTTTCAATAAAGTATTATCCAAATTCTGATGACACCATCAGAGGTTATTGGGGATAATGCGGTTGAAATGGAAACTTCCACACATCTTGTTGATTTTTTTTTTTTTACCTCAATAAATGATGCTGTTTCTCTGTTGACAGAATCACAGAGAGACTTTTCTCAGTAACTAATGATGGAAAGATGGGGCTATCAGGTGAGCAAGTCCTTCTGGGGAACTTAATTCAGGAAAGCAATGTGACGACCTCAAACGGCACCAAATAGTGCCAGACTAGTGCTTCCTACCGAATTGTCTGTCTCAACGTTTGTGAATGAGATCTGACCTGTTCTTTGAATCAACAGGCATTAATAACTCTTTATTGAGGAACTAATAGCATGTCTGAACCCAAGACAGGGGCAGATGAGGAATGCCTCCCCTTCCTGACCAAATAGCGAAACCCTAGATTTACACGCTCAAAAGAAAGCATATATCTTTTAGGTTAGAAACGGCATCAGCTGTAGTGTTTTTTCTGTTGTAAGCCCTCTAAAAGTGACTATTCCGGGGGCCATGTTGCAAACAATTTACTCCTCTCGAATTGAATGCATCTGAATCTATACTTGCACTTTTTATCAATGCACTTCAACGCTTACTGACTATAATATGAATTTATGTTGCTCATTCAAATAAAAAGACACCTTTAGTCATAGGATAATGGCCAGAATGTACAACGATAATGATTGTGTAGGCTACAGCAAGGGCAGCAAATGAGACCTCAACTGAAATGACTGTGCTTACAATGTAGATGTTAGATGGCTGCTGTTATTGCACCAACGTCTCCATTAGTTCCAACGGCGATTGACGTATCTTTATGGAGTAGCTGAGAGAAAACTCTCTCGGTTCACTGTGTGCTTTACGCTTAAACGGTCTTCAAAACAAGACAAGATCTACCGGATGCTATTTATAGACGTAGATCTGTTTGAGAGCAGCAACAATCTTGTATATGTTTGAAAATGCCTATTTTTGTATATTAACGAGGACAAGCACACCTCCAAATGCATATGTCTTTCTCAAAAGGATGTGTGGTAAAGAACTGTATTTGAGTGTGGAAGTGGAATGTAGAACCAAAGCTTTCAAAATGGGTAGAAAGAAAGGAAAACGGTTGGTCCTCCGGAAGATCTTAAGATTTCCCAGTAAGCCGAACTGTACCGTAATGGATTTCTCTGGGATGGCCCTGTGAATTCAGCCTCAGTTTTTCTGGTGTTAAAGGTCAAACAAATCCACAGCACAAATCAAAATAAAGGAGTTCCGTGCTTATTTTCCAATCAATCGCTCTCATGCCATTCAGAAGGTAAACACAAATGTCTGTCTGATGCAAAGAATTGATTACCACAAAGAGAGATTATGACCGGTTCACCATATTCTACTATCATTTATTGATAGCATGCTATTGATAGATCTGCACTTTAGATTCTAAAGATATATGATGGGTTCATGTTGGATATATTGGTGCATTTCATAACCTGACCCAGCTACAACACATCCCAGGGTGTAATGTCATTAAAGGGTTACAGAACCTAAAGAAACAATGGTGGATCCAGCAGTTTCACCAACATAGAAACTATGAGTGATTAAATACTGTATGCAAAATGAATATAAACAATAAAATGAACTATTTAACAGAAAACTGTGTGTTGTTTGAGCATTGATGTTTTATATGTGTAATGCAGTAGTGTGTTGTGTTAGCTTTGAGGTTATCTATATGCTATATAACAGTTAGCAGATATAGGCTATAATGTAGTCTTCTGGAAAACAGATAAAACATTATTGACTACTTTTTTTCCCCAATCAAATTTCTTTTTGTTCAACAGTGATTTGTAGATATATTGTATTTACATGGAAATACTAAGGTGTAGTATTTATATTTTACATTGTTGTGCCCTTCAAACGATAAGTATAAAACATTTTACATTATATTAATATTATAATACATTTTGAATGCATTTTAATAAATTTTTTTCCTTTTTCTGAGGAAAATAAAACTGCAGGACACCTTAACGTCATGTCTGATCTGTTATAAATTCAGTTAAGGTTTTGAGATCACTATAATGACTAAATAATTATTTCAAGACAGAAACTTATAAGTTGAACAAAATTGAAAAATGTACGCTACTAATTTATTGATACGCCTGATAAAGCAGCATTTTAGGTTGCAAACACAGCTAAGCCTATCTCAGGGTTGCCAGTTTTTCACAACAAACCCCGCCTAATTGCTACTCAAAATTAGCCCAATCCAGGTTCGGGGGTTCCACTAGGTAAAATACATGTTTTTTGGCGGGGTTCCCCTGGTAAGATTAGCATTTCAGGGGCTAAATATCACATTATTGGGATCGCTTCAACCAGCTCAACAGTGTTAAAGTAGCCCAATTCCGCGGGAAAACCGCGGACCTGGCAACACTTCTCTCTTTCCAGTTTTCTTAAAGGCAGAGTAAGCGATTTCTGGTAGCCAATGTTGATATTTGAAATCACCAAAACAAACACGCCCCTACCCCAAAAGGGTCTTGCCCCTATTTTGATAGCTTCGCCCCACATATACGTACGCAACCCAGGCAACGATTAGTTCTGTGAAACAAAGCAAAACCAATGTTACACCATGTCTACGGACGTGAGCGGCGCGGCAAGGAAACTGCTGCCGGGTTTTATTTATGACGTGCTGACACAAATTTCAAATGGTTTTCAACGGTCGTTTGAGTCCAGTGTAGGCAGACTTTAGCTGTTGTAGACACAGTGTTACTCACCCATTGAGAAGAAACAAAGCAACCTCGACGTCCGATCGCAGGCCTCCGCTCCTTGAGTTCTCTCCAGCGCTGGAAAGCTGATCCAATATTTACACGGGTCCTACTTCTTTGCCTTATCGTTCCGCAGACGTTTTCCTCTTTTGTTTTTTATCCGCCATCTCTATCTTTCTGTCGCTCGGCTCAGCTAATGTTCGTCCCATGCACTGAAAGCTCTCTCCTCCACATCACGAGTAGACACGCCCCTTATTGCTGATTGGCTACAAGTTTGTTTTGCTATTCGGCCCGAATCAGTTTTCTAAAGTGTTTTTGAAAAATCACATACCCTGCCTTTAACGGACCCTGCTGCTAACCAAGTAGTCCCGCCCCAAAGCTCACGCTATTGGTTGAGAGTCACCTCCAAGTTCTCTGATTGGCTAACAAGTACTGTCCCCGATCAGTTGCCGTTTTGCTCAGTGTTGCCAAGTCTGCAGTTTTCCTGCGGAATTGGGCTACTTTAAAGGGGTCCTATTATGCTCTTTTACAATGTCTTGAATTTGTTTAGGGGGTGTACTAGAACATGCTCTCATGCTTGGTGGTTCGAAAAACGCATTATTTTTT